CATCTTTTAGCTCAGATTTGCAGCTCAAACCAAGTTGTGAACAGCTTTCTCTTTGAGAGAGGGTTACTCTAAAATAAACCAAGATTGCTTCCAAACTAGAAGTGGGCTTTAGAGATAAAATACATCATCTGGGGTTTTTTATTTCTTTTGCATGCTATTTCTTGACTAACTTTAGTTCTCTGAGAAGAAATGATAGAAAATTTGTACTAACTGTCTTATGCATGCTTTTGGTTTTTAAAGTGTGCTGTTGCTTATATTTTAAGAATATTTTTACTGCTTGTTCAGTGTTTGGGTGAGTGAAGCTCTGGCATGCACTTGATTTATTTTTGTATGTTTGAATGTAAAGCTGATATATGATATGATCTATGAATGAAATGCTATTGGTAATAACTGAGAAGTCTGCTGTTTCTTGTAGTATACCAGACACACAAGTTCTACAGAAATGAAACACTTAAATATTCTAACCTTTTATAAACTCAAGAGGACATATGTCACATGAACTTAACTTGAATTAATATTCATAAAACTGGTTGGTTTTCCAGCATTGCTTTGTCTGACACTGTTTTTCAAAGAAACTAACCTTGTACGCTGAGCTTTTGATCCTTCAGCCTCTCATTTTGAAACTTCATTTCTATCCAACAAGCAGGAGTTCAAACTTAGCTTGGAAGAATTTCCTGGATCTTATGGAAAATGGATGGGGTACAATAGAGCTGACTGTAATGTCTGATTGAACTCAGCAATTTGGAACTGCCTTTTAAGACTTTATGAGGGCAAATGCCCTCAAAAGTAAATCAACTCCAATGACTAAATAATCTTGTCTGCAAACCTGCTTTTCTTTAACCTTGTTAAAATTACAATAAATATTTATTTAATTCAGTTTTGCACCAGATTTTACTTAATTTTTCAGAAAAAATCTTCCTTGCACTGTATACCTGTGTTGAGTTCAGCTCATTCTCCCAACAGAGAACTCATACAGCTCTTTTATTTTTGGCATGGTGTTGGGGTTTTTTTTAACTTTGTGTGTGAGTATTGACATGCCTTAATAGCCTTTGTCACTTGGCCAGTAGTCCACATAGTACAAGAATTATTCATGCCTGGATTTCTTGCTCCATTCACCTCCTATTAACATCTAACACTCTCCTTTTATCAACCTTTAATCTCAATTGCTTCTCTAGCAAAACTTTTGCAGAGAATTATGTCTACATCACTACACTCAGCACTCCAGCAGAATAAAAGCTGCTGCTGTTTGCCAAGCTAAAATTTCCTTTAATCTTTGATTCTTTCTCCTTCCCATTCTTAACATTCAGAATATTTTCACTATGCACACAGGAGTGGAGTGAGCCAGATGCACTTAAAAATGCACCAGCATGACAAAGCTGCATTTCCAGGTGTTGTCTCTGGTCTTAATAGTTGTTTTTTTTTTTTCTTTTGTCTTCTTGTACCATTGCAGCTCCAAGCAGATTCCATCCTCATGCTTTACAACTTTAGTGGGCAGCCCAGTGGTGAGGCGTTGGTGACTTTTCCAAGCCTGGATCTAGCTAAGCAAGCAGTGGCTGAGAGAAACGGACAGCTCCTGGGCAGCCGCTGTGTACAATTGTACCTGGTCTAGCTGAACTCTCTGGAGGATGAGGAAAGGATGTTGCACTCAACACCGTGCCTTTTGCAAAATGAGAAGTCTTCCCTTGCCACCCAGGCAGCAACAAATGTGCCTTTTCAGCCTAACATGCTGGAATGCAGCATGGTGCGTGTCCTTTTTAATTTGAAAAATGGCATCTGCTATGCCAAAGATAAAGTGAAACCAAAAATTGTGCAGTTAATTTACTTAATTTCTAACCTACCTGTGTAAAAAGAAGCAAAGCTGCTCCTGGCATGCAGTTAATTCTGGAGACAGCTCAGTATCACTTCAGCTACAGCAGCCACGGGCAAAACTTACTCAGTAGCATTTGAAGTGGAAAACGATGCTTGAGTCATTCAGATTCTTCTATGTTTAGTTTTTAAGGGTTTACACTTGACAAAGTGTCTCGTTCTTGTAGAGTTTAAATGTCTTTAGAAAGGTCTTTTGGAATGCATGGCTTACCCAGTTCAAAGCATAGACATTATTGATTTTTGTTTTGTTTTGTTTTGTTCTTGACTGGAAAATATCAGGATGCTGGATCTTGAACCAATTGTGCTTTTTCATGTTTTCATTAGACATTGTTTTGCAAAAGCCATATTTGACCTTCTTACCAGTGTACTGCTGCCAATGTGTAAAGCAAAAAACTAAAACCAACAGCAAAACTAGAAAAATCCTCTCTTCCCACCCTGCTCCCATCCCCATATTTTTAGTCTCTACAGGACAAAAATGGCACATAAACCTGAGTACTAATAAGTTATATTTTTTTATTTAAGCATAATAGCTTTCAGATACTGTATTAAAGATTTTGCTCTAGTTTATGTGCATGCAATTTGTTTACATCTTTAAACTACTTTATTTGTATATTATGAAACATCAAGATATGTTGAAATCTGAATTCACTAGTGCATGCTTTTTTCTTTTTCCCCTGTGTGTATATACATAAGCTAGAAGTACTTTTACGTCATGTAGCACGTGTTTAAAAAAAGACATCTGCTGTAGAAGCACTAAATGACTTTGTTTTTACTGTGCCTTACTTCTAAATCATTCCAAGTGCAATACCAGCAGAGCAAAATGTAATGAATTCTGTTGTTGACACATTCATGGATGTCTGAATTGATCTTTTTTTTTTTTTTGTTAGTGTACAATTTGAGTTGTACTTAAAAGAACTGAATGATGTATGCTTCTTTATATTACAATAAAAGAGATGCTTACAATGTGCATTGCCTTTTGAAAGTAACTTATGCTTTGCTTTAATGTATTCTCACAGAGCATCAGGCTTTGATAAATAGCCTTACACACTTTTCTCCTAGATTTAGATGAGCATTTGTACTTTGTGACACCTCTGCTTTTTGGGGGGTTGTGGTTTTTTTGTTGTTTTTGGGTTTTGTGGGTTTTGTTTTGTTTTGTTTTTGCCTTTTTACATGTTCCAGTAAGCCAGAAATCTCTATGATGCTTGTTTCTCTCCTAGTGCAACACATTTTAGGCAACATGATGTAACTGTTTACATGCTTAGTGTTCTCTTTCTGTTGCCAGAGGAAACAAAGTATTGAACTTGAAATTGCATTCGTGTTTGCATTTAATTGACTAACGGGTCCCTCACTTATCTGTGCAACCCAAAATGCTACATTTAAGTCAAGATGGAGCCAGTCAGCCTTTTTGTACTGAAAATTGAGGAAGGGGAGGAAATCACATCAAGATAAGAAGGTGTGTTTCTCACTAGTCAGACACATCTCATGCCAGATTCCGTTTCATCATCCAAACCACTCAAATTAAGTTTCAGCACAATCAGATGGAACTGGAGGGAAGAATTTTTTTTTTTTTTTTTTTTTTTTAATGGGAGTGCTTACACTAACCTGTTTCCAGTATTAATCTTGGTGAAGTCTGACAAAAATCTTAGTTTTAAAGTAATTTGAATAGTATAAAGGATTGCACAGTGGTAATTAACATTCTCATTATGCCTTGGAGGAAAATCTGGTAGCTGTGTGGTCCATTTATCACACACTTACAGTCTGCCACAGTCCAGCTGGTCACGGCTTTGCAGGCTGCGGAAACATTCTCATTTTTCCTCTTATAAAACCCATATGGAACTTGTGGGTTTCTGCTTCCTTGGCAAGGTGAGGCAGGGCTGGAATGGAGAACCTCAGTCACATCAGCCGTGATTTAGATGTAAACACTCCCTACTCGTTTAACCCCTTTGTGGCTTAGTTGGCAGCGATCGATCACAGCTCTGCTTTGGAGTGCAGTCCCATGCCCACGTCACAAACTGCAAACAGGCTCTCTGTACCTACCACCCACTGCTGGCTCAGTCCCTCTTTAGCATGAGATGGTGGAGACCAGTTCTAGAAAGTGAACTTGGGGATGTTTCAGGCTGTGTGATTTCATGTGTGAAGCCAAATGTCTGGAACATGGGACCAGTGTATAATTTTTAGCAGTTACTGGTGTAAAATGACTGCAAGGGCAGTGGCAGTGTTTTGGGTGGACCAGAGCACTCCGGGTGGGGCTGACAAGAGACCAGACCTGAGGATGCTCTTCCTCTGAACTTTGACTTTCTTGCTTATATTGAAAATCTGTGGTCTTGCCTACAAAAAAAAAAAAAAAAAAAAAAAAAAAAAAAAAAAGAGTGACGTTAAAAAACGAAGTGCTGCTGGCACTGCCTGGGGCAGGAATCCCTCAGGATCACAGGGCATTCCGAGTCGGGAAGGGCCCACCGGGACCGTCAAATGGCCCACCCGTTTTAAAAATATGTGGTTTTCCCTACAAAAAAAAAAAAGAAACAAAAAAAAAAAAGACAAAAAAATAAGGGTGACGTTAAAAAACCTAGTGCTGCTGGCAGTGCCTGGAGCAGGAATCCCTCAGGATCACAGGGCATTCCGAGTCGGGAAGGGCCCACCGGGACCGTCAAATGGCCCACCCGGGGATCGAACCCGCGGCCGCGGCGCTACGGGCACGGCGCTCTGCCCGGGGGCTGATCCCCTGAGGGGACGGTCCCGGCCGGGCCCCCGCCGGACCAAACTCCGCCAGCGGCCTCTTGTGCTTCCTTTTGGCTCCGTAAAACAGGGACGGCGGAACCGAAGCGGTCCGGCTCTCCCGGGCTCGGCTCCAGAGCCAGAGGGGCCGGTCTGGGCCCGCACCCGGCCTTCGAAGTTTTCCGGCACCGAGCCCGGCCGGGGCTCCCGGCAGGGTTTGTGCCTGGGCTCCGGGGCTGCGTCTTGCCTACAAAAAAAAAAAAAAAGCCTGGCCGGGCCCTCGGGTGAGGCAGTGGAGCTGTGCCGGGCCCTCGGGTGAGGCAGATGGAGCCGGGCCGGGCCCTCGGGTGAGGCAGTGGGGCCTGGCCGGGCCCTCGGGTGAGGCCGTGGAGCTGGGCTCGGGTGAGGCAGTGGGGCCTGGCCGGGCCCTCGGGTGAGGCAGTGGAGCTGGACCCACGCTGACCCCTCGGCTTCACCTCTGCAGCAGCAGCCACCAGCAGCGTCCCTTGGGCCCTGCTCACCTGGAATTTTGCTGCAGACCCTTTGTAGCTGATGGGCTGGCTTCGAGCCCAAGAGCTCTCCTCCAGAGAGGGAAGATAAAACTTGCATAATAATACACGTGTTTGGATGATGGCTTCCATCACTGGAGAAGGCTGGGAGCTTGGGGTAAGTGCTAAGTGTTTTGTGTGTTCTTTGATGAATACATTTACTCTTTGTGATTGAAGTTTTAGACTATGCTGAGTTGCAAGCCCTTATCAGAGGAATCTCTGTCTTTAAATGCACGCAGCTTAATAGAAAAATAAAAAAGCATTAAGCTTTAAGTGTTTCACCAAAGAAGAAGTGAAGTTTGGTAAAGAACTCCGATTTGACTTTTACTGTTGTTAAAGAAAGAGTCCTCACACTCAGCCACAAAATTCAAATCTCAAAAAGAAGCTTCTTCTGTGCTTGCAATCAGCAAACTCCTTCACCTGCATTCGTGTTGCCATGGAACAGAATTACCACTGGTTGTATTTCTCCTGATTTCACACTTCTGATAGTGCTGGTTTGCAGATAATTCATTTAGTCATTTCTGCTCCCACTCTCCTGAGACTGATAATTTCACCTGGAGATGATTTCTGTGTTGGCCTATCCCATGGGATATTCCTGCCCAGCCTAGAGAGAAGACAGCTTATTCTTGTTACACGTGGAGGCGAGACTGAAGAGTTTGAAATGGCCATTCTCTGTTTCAATAGTTGCAGCTGTGCATCCGGAGCAGGTGTTTCTTCTTGGGGTTTCCTCATTTGCAGAGCAGGCTTACCCAAGACAAGCTTAAAAGTTTTGTTTGTTTATGTGAACTGAGATATTTTCAGCAAATATTTTATTAATGAAATTCAATTCCTAAATTTTTTTTAAAGAGTAAAAGCTTTTCAGCACCTTCATTTCTGAAGCAGTATTTGTTCTATTTCAGTCAGTTACAATGAACTGCTGATGAAGGCTGGCAGTTTAACCTCCTGGGTCCTGTCTTATATAGAACTGTATTTGACAAAATCTGTTATAAGTTGTTTTAAGTCTATCACTAGAAGTGTCTTCTAAAAGCTGTTGCATCTAAGGAAAACTTGAAATATATTCTAAAGCAGAAAATTCCTAACGTGCCAAGGTTTGCCTGTAGTAAATTTAAAATGTTGCCTTTTTATATCTACTTGTTATAAAGCTTTTGAAAAAGAGCAGGTGAGGGCTACTGTATTACCTAGCTGGATATGCAGCTGAAATGCAAATATTCAAATAAACATGACAACAAGTTGATTTAGACTTGCTAATTGACATTTCTTTAATTGCTGCATTATTATAATCGTTTTTCTTTAGATACTTTTTTTAAATAGCTATTTTGGGTGGCTTTCTATGAGCTCGCTGACAATATAAAGCTGAGTTTAAAGACAATGCTTTCCCTTTTGTAAACATTACAAAGGTATTGCTCTAATTTTGCCGATTTAATGTTAGCTGTGTGATAATATCCTTTGCTGCCAGTAGATGTCCCCTTTCCATCGGGGTTCGCAAGAAGGGGCTCGAAACACGAAACAGCGGCTTTGGAGTGTCCGGGAATGCTCTGTCTGTTAGCCTTAAACTCCGAGGTCACTTTGCTGCTCATAAATTGTTGACTTAAGTTGGTTCTGGTGTTTTTTCGTTTGTTTTTTGGGGTTTTCCCACCCCCCCCCCTCTTTTTTGTCAAATTTGTCCTTGTTTTTCTATTCTAAATGTTTTCTCCGAGTTCATTGATATTCAATAGGGTTGCTTTGAAACGTGCAAACTGGTTTCAAATTGTGAAAATCACCGTGGTATCTGACCGTATTTAGTCGGAAAGAAAAAAACTTTTAAAAACTGCTCTACAGAAAGAAATCCATGAAATGTTTGCTAGACAGCAAACATTGTCCAGTAGCAGTGATTGGACAAAAGGAGCGCTTTAAGTGTCACCCCAGTGGAAGCATACTGTGTTGGACCAAAAATGAAAGAAAAATGACTCTTTAGTCTCCTGGCTCTAAGAAAGAAACGCGCAGATTACCGGCCCAATGCCAGGGCTTTACACCAGATGACATTGGCTGCAGCTGAGCTGGGGCAGCCCCGGCGGCGGGCACAGCCCGGCTGGGCTCTCTCGGGCTGCTCCCTCGGCTCCTCGCCGCTGTCAGCTCCTGCCGTTGGTCTTGTTGGTTTTAATCCTGGTCTCTCGGGGCGTTTCCCTTGGTTGTGTTCAGCACCATAAACTGAGAGTCGTTGGGAATTCTCCTTGTGGAGGATCCCGTGAGATACTCACTCACGCTGTAGAGTGCGGATCATACAGAAAAAGGGTAAAAATGGGGAGAGGTTTTTAGTGTGTGGTATTAGATCTTGAGTTGCTCCAACACTTGCCACATTTTGGGACTGCCTAATTTTTTCAAGAGAAATTGAAAAGAGGGGGAGTGTGGGGGGTTGCATATCAGCAGTTCCACCATTTAGAAAAAGGAACCAACTCTCTCACCCACAACCCGTAACCCTCAAACACGGGAGTCGTCTTGGTAAATTTCTGTTGCTTTGAAGTCTGGGGACATTGACCAGGGCCTTCTATTGCTCCTAGACCTTCTAGGACACTCTTCTTTTGTTGAGCAATAAGTGAAAATAACATGTTGTGTTTCATTTGGGAAAGCAGCTTTTACAATAGACCTGATGAAGGTGCAATTGTTCTGTTTATGCCAATGTCCTGTTCTGGTCCCTGCCTTCCAGCTTACTATTACAATCATTGTAACTTTTGAAAGGTTTTTTTGCTGTTGCTATTTGGTTTTAATCATTCCTTGTTATCAGCACTTTATCTTCTGCTTGCTGGAGATAGGGGAAAAGTTAATGTGCTACTGGCATAGATCGCTTGTGTGTGTATATTCCCTTCTAAATTAACTTGAGATGTTTGAATTTCATGTAAACCTAGCTTTTAAAATTTGTATTTGTGAGCAAAAATCTTCAAAATCTTTACTCGGGGTATGTTTTAAATAATAATACTTACAAGTATGCGAGTGCAAAAATGAAGGAAATATTGTTCTATTTTTTCTTACTACTATCCACAAGAATAGGTGAGAGGTGGAAGGAAACAAGAGAATAACTGAGCAGAGGAAAAATGATGTATTTTGAGGAAGGGGAGTCTCACTGGAATTTTTTGTGAGAAGCTCCAAAAAGCTGATGGCTGTTTTTTGGAAAAATCTGTTGTGCTCATGTGTGCCATGGAATGGCATTAGAATTTAGCTGTCTTTGCTGCGTTGAATAAAGGCTTTTGGGTTTGTCAGGAAGAGTAATATCTTTTCCTGCTGTTTTCTGAACTAATTCAGTGTTGGGGATCTCTCTGGGACTGCTTTCAGTAGGGATGGAAGGCACACAAAGTTCTGCTGTGGGAGAAGTGCAAAGGCGTGGTGGAACTGCACAGACCAAAGACTGGCAAGGAACAGGTCCTTCCTCCTCCTTGGTCGGGGCATGAGAGGTTAAAGTGAGGAAAGGACAGTCTGAGCCTTATCTGGACTGTAACATTTGTCACTACAACATAGTCCAAGGAATTCTTGGTTAAACATGCCCTGAAAATGTGGGACTCATTCCCATTGGATTAGGTGTGCCTTTCTTTCGTTTGATGCAATGCAGTCCTTGTGCAATTGTGAACTTTACTGTGAAAATCCACACAAGCTACACTGAATATTAATTGTAGCAATACCATTAAATTAAAATGTTCTTGAAAAGGTCAGGACCTTTTGGGTTTTTGTTTTGTTCTGTTTTGTTTTGGGATGGGTTTGGTTGGTTGGTTATTTCATTTTGGTTTTGTTTTTTGAAAAGCAACACAAAAACTTAGAAAACCAATCAATTTTGCTTAGTTTTTACTGACAAGAAATCTATGTCTGGGAATATAAACTGTCAGGTTGCTTACAACGTTGTGTATTTTGTGTGTGTGTGTTAAATTGTTCTAAAATGTTTTATCACAAGTTGGGTACATCATATTCCTGATGGGATCTGGAGCACAGATCACAGGTTGGATGACGGAAGCCATGAGGAGATAGGTCCTAGAGTTAGAGCTGGAGTTACACCTGTAGTAGTGTAGTGCTCATGACAGTAATAGACTCTTTGTCTTGCTTGTGAGGAGGAGAAGGCCTATAAGTATGGCAGGCTCCATATTTGCAATGAAATGTGGCTTCTGCTTGTCTGTAAAATCAATCTTTTTGTTCAGCTCAAAGATATTGGTCACTGATAACAGCGTGCCAGTGGTTTTATTTGAAGTGACCTGAAATTGCCTTGTAGAAAGTAAGCCCCCAGAAAAGAAAGGATTCCAAATTTTCAGATTATGGGGACTGTTTTGGAGATAATTTGGGGAAGAAAGAAAATTGTAAGACCATGGGCCTAGACACTGATAATACATCCCAGAGAGTGTGCTAACAACAGGAGAGACTGTGAACGCAGTGAAGAAAATATTTTGGGATTGTGGGTTGTTTGTTTCTTTTTTTTTATTCTGTTCGCTGGCACCAGGTTCCACCAGTGGTTCCTTTTCAGACACAGCTACTCTGGCTAAACAGCACCGTGCAGCTGCAGTGTGGGAACTCACTGCACAGCCTGGAGATCTTCCAGCCACAGAGCAACTTCAGCGTTGGATACTGGAGCTTCCAGAGGGTTTGCAATGACCAGGATAATGACTCTCGTTATGGTTTAGGAGGTGGGATGATTTTCTGACTGTTTCGAACAGGAAAAGCAGGTTGCAAATGTGTTGAGGAGGCAGCATCAGCCCACGCTGCAGCTGGCAAAGGGCAGCACTGCTGGCACACTGCTCTTGGGGCAACTCTGGGAAGCCACAAACACAAAAATCAGCCCAAGTGCGTTGTAGATTGAGCTGAAGCAGCTCTGAGCTGGGCAGGCCCAGAACCGCCGGCAGCCCAGGCTCAGCTGAGGGCAGCAGGAATGCAGCTCCCAGCACAGCTCTGCTCATGGTGCTGCTCTCAGCAACTGTACTCACTTCTGATTATAACTTATAGACTCTAGAAATTTTTGAGACAATTAGGATAAACCGAAGTGGGGGAAAGGAGGGGTTACTGGATACAATTGCAGTTTGTTCATTGCGTGTCTGTCATTGAGCATAAATGATGTTTAGCCTCTAGATACAGGATAGGAAATTGGATTTGAAATCAGAAAAAAGAGCC